TCTACGATCCAATCATTTTTGTAGTTAATCCGTTCTTGTGTTGTTACCATAAGGGCTAATTATTCTTCCTCCATAGCAAATAATGCTTCAGCATCCCAACCATCTTCACTATTCTCCTTCGAACTGGAAGTAGCAGTATTACTTTCAACAGGCTTTTTCTTGGTCCAACAATCTTTCGCCATGTGGCCCATCTTCCCACAGTTGTGTAACCTCACCACCACCGACAACCTCCCAAAGGTCTTGACCTTGTAAGTAAGACTCCATACATGTTGCCCATGTATTGTAGTTTTTGTTGTTGAGCTTTTTGATTCCTCCAACTACTTGAAGGTCACCCATCGTGCCGGCAAGACTTCGACTATACAAATCAAGCTTGACTAACAAACTTGCAGAGTACCAAACTCCTCACGACTCAAGATAGCTCCACCAAGAACGATCCCTGACTGTCCCGCTCTGATGCCAATTGTTGGAGAAAAACTTAGAGTACACAACTCTAACACAAGTGTTGGAGAGACAACACAAGTAAACAAATTACTTGTATTACATACACAAAATATTACAACACTCAAACTCTCAAAGACACACTTGAGAAGCTATGACACTCACTCACTTTCTAGAGACAAACTCTAGGTCACTCACACTCCTTACAAGACTACTCTTACTTCTTACTCTCACTTGGTTGCCTACTTCTTCTTGGTTGGTTGGTTACTTGTTTGATACAAATGGTGTGGATGCCTTCTCCTTTTATAGGCATGGATGGAACCTTGGAGAAGCATGTAATCATCATGTTAGAGATATCTAGATAATTCTACTAACTACTAATCTTGCATGTTTGTGGAAACCTCACCATTCTTCTAGACTCTTCCACCAACTTGAACTTTGCTAGAATTCTCTAGCATGTGTATGGATCTTTCTTTGTCCATGGGCTGGATCCATCTTGGGCCAAGGCAAGATGACACTTCAACACAGACACCAATTGGGCTGGTGTTGATCTTCAACAGCCCTCAAATTCCTTGCTCAATGACACATTGTAGTGAGAGCGACTATATGCACTTGCTAAGAACCGGAATGTCTCGTCATCCGGACATGCAAGATAATCTTTCTTGTAATTTAATTTCAATCAAAAGACGAGTATGTGCAAAAAAAAAATGAATGTGGATGAAGGCTGAGGAGCTACATTAGATATATAAATTTTGGATGGATCAATTTACAACAAACACTTGTCGGGTAGCATGCTCCAGAGTACAAGCTGACAAGCACTAATGCAATCGCTCTTTGCTTGGTAAATACTAAATACTACTTGTAATCTCAGTTTTTCAACTTTCAAAAACAACCAAGAAACTAAATGAACACAGATGCAAATGAACACATAATATAAAATGCATACAAATATACATATACATATACATATACATATACATAGCACATATGAGGAGATAGGGACCTGGAGGGTAGGAAATATGAAGGCCGCCTCTGGCAATAGCAGGACGAAGAAAAGAGGAGAAGTTGGGAGAGAGGAAGAGGATGGAAATAGCAAGCTCCATTCTGTGATCTTTGAGGTTGGCTATGGAGACGATGGAGCTGGATTCTGGAAGCCATTCAGGAAGATGAAAACGTAACGACGAAGATCGGAGATGCTGGATCGCCGGAAAATGGGCTGCAAATTCAAATGGGAAAGAAGAAACGGGGACTTCGAGCTATGGGTAAATAAGCCAACAAACCTAACCGGATGAACCGTTCAAACAGCCCGAACCAAACTAAATTAAATAGGTTGATTTTTTTTAGGGTAAAAGACCGTTTACTACCCTCATGTTTTGTGGTTTTCAACATTTAGTACATCAAGTTTTTTTCGTCTCAGATTCATACCTAAAGTGTAAATTTTGGGACAGTCTCATACATCCGTTAGTCAAACTGTTAAATGCCATTAATTGTGACGTGGCGCCATGACTGGGCGCCACCTATCATCCACATTTTTTTTTCTTTTTTTTTTCTTTTCTTCTTTCTTCTTCTTCCTTCTTCTTCTTCTGCAACTTTTTTTTTTCTTCCTCCTTCTCCTTCTTCCTTCCCCTTCTTCTCCTTCTTTCTTCTTCTTCCTTCTCCTTCTCCTTTTTCTTCTTCTTCCTCCAAATCTGGGGAAGTTTTTTTTCTTTTTCCTCCTTCTTCCTCCTTCTTCTTTCTTCTTCTTCTTCTTCTTCTTCCTCCGACTGCAATTTTTTTTTTTTTTTTGAGGAAGAAGGAAGAAGGAAGAAGGAGAAGAAGGGGAAGGAAGAAGGAGGAAGGAAGAAGGAGAAGAAGAAGGAGGAAGAAGAAGAAGGAAGAAAAAAAATTGCCGTCGAAGGAAGAAGAAGAAGAAGAAGGAGGAAGGAGGAGGAAGAAGAAGAAAGAAGAAAGAAGACAAAAAAAAAAAAAACCTTCATCTTCCCCAGATTCGAAGGAAGAAGAAGGAAGAAGGAGAAGAAGGGGAAGGAAGAAGGAGGAAGGAAGAAGGAGAAGAAGGAGAAGAAGGAGAAGAAGGAGGAAGAAAAAAAATTCCTTCATCTTCCCCAGATTCGGAGGAAGAAGAAGAAGGAAGAAGAAGGAAGAAGGAGAAGAAGAAGGAAGTAAAAAAAAAGAAAAAAAAGTTGCAGTCGGAGGAAGAAGAAGAAGAAGAAAGAGGAAGAAGGAGGAAGAAGAAGAAGAAAGAAGAAAAAAAAATAAAAAGAAAAAAAACTTCCCCAGAGTCGGAGGAAGAAGAAGAAGAATGAGAAGGAGAAGGAAGAAGAAGGAAGAAGGAGAACAAGGGGAAGGAAGAAGGAGAAGGAGGAAGAAAAAAAAAGTTGCAAAAGAAGAAGAAGGTAGAAGGAAGAAGAAGAAAGAAGAAAGAAGAAAAGAAAAGGAAAAAAAAACGTGAATGACACATGGCGCCCAATCATGGCGCCACGTCACAATTAACGACAGATTTAACAGTTTGACTAATGGATGTATGAGACTGTCCCAAAATTTACACTTTAGGTATGAATCTGAGACGAAAAAAAACTTGATGTACTAAATATTGAAAACCACGAAACATGAGGGTAGTAAACAGTCTTTTACCCTTTTTTTTATGTACAACAATATTTACATTATAGGGTTTGAATTAAATTGAAGAGAAATGTCACCAACTATATTAGTAGTGACAAAATCGATTTTGGAAGAAGTTGTCTATTTCAGAGGGGATTTACCAGATGCCGAATGTAACTATGTAAATTTTCTCCTGTATTTACTAATTTGTAAGGAATTGAAAAAATAGTTGTTTCTTAAAATTCATTATCAAACACCTAAAAATCAGGAAGCATATCAAGTATGGGCCATTTGATCCTGCTCTCTTTTCTTACTTTTCATATTTCTAAGTTATTTCATTCCTTGTTACTCAATACTACGTTCGGTGGTATTCCTATTCACTTGAAACTGAGAGGTCTTAGATTCGAATTTCGTGGATGGCGAATTCGATACCAAATTAGGTTGCACATTGTGTAGTTTAGCCGAACTCCCCCTCAACATAGTGTAAAAATATATCGATGTACTCAAAAAGTTATTTCATTTCTTTATTTTCTCATTTATGATAAGTAAACATTGATATATGGATCCAATATTGCATATCGTGTTTATGAATGAGCCTTGGTAGGAGTCACAACCTAATCATGAGTGAAATCGTCACATGTGTAGTGCCAATGTTTTCATGCACACGCTCACCAAAGGGTCTGTTTCGTTTTCCTACCTCTCGGTTGGTCCAACTAGGTCCGAAAGTACTCCAAAGGTAAAGTAAGGCCCAAGGAATACATCGTGTTCACAACATCATAACAATAATAAGGAAATACAATGGAGAGGCTTAGGTGAGAGCCTTATGGCGCAATAAACTTCAATTTAGGTCATGAGGAGTAGAGGCAAAGTTGACCAACTTCTTACATAGAGTTTTAGGGGATGAAAGGGATCAAAATCGAATTCCAGGGGGCAAAATAGAACAAACTATGAATCTAAGGGAGTGAAGTGACGATTTTTTATTTACAATGAGCAAAGTAAGATTAAAATCGAGGGTGTAGCTAAAAATAAGCACATTTGTTTACTTTCTTGGTTTGATCATGTAATTTAAATATTATTTTCCCAATAAATTTTGGAAGGCAAACAAACTCATCAAGAGGTAATATTGCAGAAGTGCTAATTCACTTGGAAGAATGGAACAGGAACATATAGGATAAAATAGGTGGGAACCGCACGAATCGGATTTTTTGAGGAACATATCGAGCAAGAATTGGTTAGACAATGTGTGGTTGTTAAACAAGGATCATCATTATGCATTGTGTTAGTGAATCGTGCTAAGAACAAGTCAATCCTATTTAGGTTCTATACAAAGAAGGGTACATGAATTATGCTCTTGATGATTCAATATGTCATCAAATGGTTTGGATTACAATTGTTCCTAAAGAAATTTGGCTTCCACCATAAAACCAATTAGCTATATGGAGAGTAGTCTAACTACTTATAAGTTCATGCAAGGTTCTTCCTCCCATCAACATATGACTCATTGTCAACACGCCTCTTCACGTATGGCGAATTTTCAAGTCTAACACGTGGACAATACAACGGAGTGTCATTGAGCAAGTGTGGCAGTGCGTATGACCGTTTGACTTCACACGTGGGACAACCTACTTTAATACCATAAAGAATTTGAGGTTCCACCATAAAACCAATTGACTATATACCAAGTAGCGCAGCTACTTATAAGCTCATGGAAAGTTCTTTCTCCCTTCAATGTAGGACTTATTCTCAACATACTACGTAGGCTACATATTTCATACCAAAATCTAAAACCGTCAAGAGTTTGTGGAGGAAAGTGCAAGCTACACTTCCGTTGTTAGATTCCTCACAAAAATTAGTTGTTGTTAGATTCCTCACAAAAATTAGTTGGGGTTAATTTTGGGCTTGAGCAACTAAGTTCTCTATTAGCTCATGATGTCAATGATGTACGTTTTATAGGGATAACGGGGATGGGTGGCATAGGTAAGACAACCCTTGCTAAGCTTGTTTGTGATAGAATCTTTCATCATTTTGAAGTTCACTGCTTTCTCGGCAACGTTAGAGAGGTTTCTAACGTTGATCTTCAAAAAAGACTTCTTTTCCCGGTGTTGAGGGAAAAGATTGAAGAAATTTGGGACGAAGAGCGTAGAATTATTTTCACTAAGAAGTTCTTACGCAACAAAAAGGTTCTTCGTGTACTTGATGATGTGGATCACATAAACCAGCTACAAGTACTAGCTGGAAAGGAAGATTGGTTTGGCATGGGAAGTCGAATTATCATTACAACTAGAAATGAACGTCTGCTAGTCCAGCATGACGTAACATTATGTCATCATGTCAAAATGTTGGATAAAGGCGCAGCTCTTGAACTGTTTAGCCTACATGCCTTTAAGAAAAATATGCCTGAGGATGGGTTTTGGGAACTGTCAACGTATTTCATTAATTATGCTGGAGGCCTTCCATTAGCTCTTGAAACTTTGGGGTCGGCATTGTTTAAGAGAAGGCTAGACACTTGGAATAGTGTGTGGGATAATCTGTCAAAAATTCCTAATCCAACAATTTTTGATAAACTTAAAATAAGTTATGATGGACTAGAAGAGTGGGAGAAGAGAATTTTTCTCGATGTTGCATGTTTTCACAAAGGGAAGTACACAAAGCGAGTAATTGAAATGCTAGATGATTCTTTTGGAATATCTAGTAGTATTATGATAGATGTACTAATTGAGAGATCTCTCATCTATCAAGATCATAGAAAATGCATATGGATGCATGATTTGATTCCAGAAATGGCATGGATAGTTATTGCTCACGAGTCTAAAGAGCCTAGTCAACGCAGTAGTTTATGGCTTTACAATGATATTTATCATGTATTCAGAACGAATACGGTAAGAAGTTAAATATCAAGTTTGCAAGAATATATGATTTCTTTTGACATTATATTATTATATAAATTAATTCGTCCTTTTTTCCTTCATTGTTAGGGAACAAGAACATTTGAAGCCATATCCTTACGCCAGCTCAAAGTAGAAGAGGTACGCCAGTGGAATTGCGAAGCCTTCTCTAAGATGGATGGACTGAGGTTTTTGGAGTTCGATAACTTGATCTTTTCTTCAGGCCCCAAATTTCTTCCATGTTCCTTGAGAATTATAAATTGGAGTTGGTATCCTTCTAATTTTCTTCCAACCAGCTTTTGCCCGCACTTGCTTGCTCAACTTAAGATGCGTAATACCAATCTTGTTCGTGTTTGGGAGGGAAAAGTGGTAAGAGCAGTTATGAACAAAGGATAATATTGGTTACTCACTAGTCAATACTCACTTTTTGATTTTTTCCAATGATATTTTAACACATATTATTTAAAAATAACAATAGACAGGTTATTTAATTTTTCTTGAGTTTTAAAAACAAGGAACGCATGACATTTTTTTATTGTACAATCCCAAATGTCCCAACTTTCTTCCATATTCATTGAGAATAAATGCTATTCAATTTACAAAATAATCATATATTTATTTATTTATTTATTTATTTATTATTTTGAATAAACTTTAAGGTTGTGGAAGCTTAGTAAATGATCTGAACCTTATCGGTGGTGTTGTACATGACTTACCCAACTTGAAATATATCGATCTTAGCTACTCCAATAAATGGAAGAGTACCCCAGGATTTTAATGGTATTCCAAATCTTGAGGAGTTAATTCTTGGGAATTGTAAGAATTTAGTTGAGACTCACCCGTCTATTGCAGTCCTCAAAAGACTTAAGGATTTGAACCTTCGTAACTGTGAAAGCATTAATACCCTCCCAAGTAAGGTTGAAATGGATTATCTTGAATATTTCTGTCTTTATGGCTGCTCAAATGTGAAAAATATTCCAGAATTTGGGGAGCAGATGAAGAATGTGTCCTGGATTTCCTTAAGTGGGACTGCGATCGAGAAAATACCTTCATCAATTGGACATTTGGTTGGCCTCAGGGAATTGCATGTAAGGAATTGCAAAAATCTCTTGAACCTTCCAAGGGCAATTTGTAATTTGAAGTCTCTTGAAGGGCTCTATGTGAATCAATGCTCAAAGATTGACAAACTCACTGGAGACATGGATCGCTTAGAGGCGCTTCGTTGGGGACCCACTATGACACAGCCGCTTGTGAGTATGAAAAATCTCAAAAGTCTAGTATTTAAGACAAATTCTGACATAGCCACTTGTGGATCGGATGGTAAAGCAAGGGATGGGTGGGGCCTTCGCCGCTTATTTGGACTTCAAAAGAGTCACCCTGATCCTCCTCCTTGTTGGGGTTTGGTGTTGTCTTCTCTAAATCGTTTATGCAACTTGAGGAGGTTAGAGCTAAAGAATTGTAATCTCCGGGAGGGGGATATCCCCGATGATATTGGCTGCTTGTCCTTTTTGAGAGAATTGTATCTTAGGAGAAATAATTTTGTCAGGTCCATCCAATTTTTATGGTGGTTCTGTCACTTGCCAGAATTGCATTGCATTGGTTCAAGATGAAGACTTGAGTAATAGGATTCTAAAATCTGTCATTCAGGTACTCTCTCTCTCTCTCTCTCTCTCTCTCTCTCTCTCTCTCTCTCTCTCTCTCTCTCTCTCTCTCTCTCTCTCTCTAAATAATTGATCTTTCTTCTGCTACAGGGATTGGAAATTGTAATCCCTGGAAGTGAAATTCCAAAGTGGTTCAATAATCAGAGTGTGAGACATTCAATAAATGTGGAGCTTCCTCCACTATCATGTACCAACTGGCTTGGGATTGCCTTATGTGCTGTTTCTCTAGACCCAAACCCTATACAAAATGTGGAGCTTCCTTATTGCTTTAGTTTTAGAATTCACCGTTCAGGGAAACTTGTTAGCCCTGAAATACTTGGCCCAGAATACAATTGGAATACCTTACCGTCTCTTGTGTCAGAAAACCTTTCGGTATTTTATATTCCTCGTCAATATTGTTTGCCTCGTGAAGATTGTCATTAGGAACAGTTTTTATTTGGAGTTATCTTTGGTAATGTGTATGGGAGAGACCTAAAAGCAGGCTTGGATAAGGTGAAGAAGTGTGGGGCTCGTTTGGTGTACAAGCAAGATTTGAAAGAACTCAATCAAAAACATGGGGCTCGTTTGGTGTACGAGCAAGATTTGAAAGAACTCAATAAAAAACTACTGAAACGAACACATGAAATTCGTGACGAGGTAGCTCCAAGTGGACCTGGAAGTGCTAGCTTCAACCACACAGAACATATTCGCAAAAGGCGTTGTAACTAGTCACCATGTCACAAAAAATGCATGTAAGTAACCATCGATTAATCACATCAGCTTAATTGTAATCAAAATTATTTTTTGTTTCGACGACATCCTAGTCAATGTAATCAATCTCTCGATCTATATATTAAGATGGCTATATTTAATGAAAGGTGAGTGAATAAGAATGTTGATGCATAAAGACTTTTGCAGATTACTTGGGCATTAAGAAGATTGATTAACAATCTGATCATCTTGCCTAATGCAGTAAGTGGGTACCTTGTAAACTCACGACGCCATGGGGGCTGGTCTGTCGGTCCTGATCTTAAGGTTCATTTTCTGAAGACGCCATTAGCGTTAACATGTACACCAGGGGTTGAATTCAAACTTCTGTACTCTGGCAGAAATTGATTTGTTTCTGTCTGATTTTGTAACTAATGCAAACTTGTAGTCCAGAAACAGAAACGTTGCGAAGGAAACAACACTTTTTGCTCAACAACTTTGGTTTGATTAAAACTTGGCTTTGGTGATGCAAAAAATAAGCATTGAGAGTATTTTTCCTGAGATCATTGGAAAGGTTGTCGTAAAACTTAGAACAGCAAATCATACTAATTTTTTTAAAACCCTTTTTACACGGTAGTTTTGAAGTTTAAACTTTAAAACAGCAAATCATACTTTTTTTTTATTTTTTTTATTTGTCAAAAGCAAATCATACTAATTAACTCAGCTAAGAAATATTCAAATAATCCCCGGGCAAGCTGAGAGTATGATTGGAAATTAGAAGTCTGACTTGGTCTAACATCCCCGGGCAAGCTGACAGATTGTAGCCCAACTGGAAGCTTGGACACCAGCAGTTTAAATCGAGATGAAGATAACCCTTCGTGAATAAATCAGCAATTTGATCTTGTGAACAAATAAAATTCACCAGTAGCTCACCTCTAATCACCTTCTCCCTGAAATAATGATAATCAACTTCTAAGTGCTTGGTTCTTGAGTGGAAAACTGGATTGGATGCTAAGGCAATGGAAGACAAATTATCACACCAAATCTGTTACCTTAGAAGATTCTAATGTACATCCCTAAACAACGAACATAACCAGGGCAACTCAGCGGCGGTGTATGCAAGCTGCCTATATTCAGCTTCAGTGCTAGACCTGAAAACTGTTTTCTGTTTCTTCGAACTCCACGATATTAAGTTTTCACCCAAGTATACACAGAAGCCTCCAGTTGAGGCGTGTCTAGGTTCTCTACATAATCACAATCAAAGCGAAAAAAATTCACAAATGACTAGCAAATAGAGGAAAACTTCCAGGAGTAGTCTGAAAATAGTTTTCTTCTTTTCCGTAAACAAGTCCGAACATACTTTTATTTGCAAAGCAGATCTGTCAAAACTGGAACAATAGATGAAAATAAGGGCAATGAGGGAAAACATTCAACACAGGAAAAGACCAAAATCTAGAATGAAGTAATTTAAAATTGCCATAAATTACAAAGAAAAGTAGGGTATAACACTAAAGAGCTACATTAGATATGTTATATAAATTTTGGATGGATCAGGCATTCTCTGTATCCTTGAATACTTCTCAGGTGTTCTGCTGTTTGCTTTTATATTGCCATTTCACAATATGGAAAGCAAGGAATTAAATCACGTGTGCTGTTGTCAAAAATTAAGGCAAGGCAAACTATGGATTGACAATTCGTGATTTTATATTACCATTCACAATATGAACAGCCAGTACCATGCAAAGTTCCGTCCCCACCCCCCTAAGGTCCATTGGACCTATGGCTACAGCAAGGGCGTAACCGTATCCCCATATACATGATAACTTGGCTAAAGAATATCGTTTTATATTTAAAGGTTGCAAACACTTGCTCTAACTGATGCCTGACCTCATTAGCAGTAGGCCATTTGTTATCACTAATCTCCAAGGTCAATTCAAAACAGCCACCATTTTTGTAGTTCCAATCTTGCATGCCTCCATATATAGGGTACCTACAACAGGTGTCTTAAGAAACAATAGATGAATATCAAACAGAAGGAAAATATACCTATAATAAGTTGTAATGTTTCAAGCCATCATACCAGAAAGCTCGATTCGTAATCCCTCCCTCAAATTCCTTGCGCAATGACATATTGTAGCGAGAGCGACTATATACACTTGCTAAGAACCGGAATGTCTCGTCGTCTGGACATGCAAAATAATCTTTCCTGTAATTTAATTTAGATCAAAAGACAAGAGCATATGTGCAAAATAAAAATTAATAAGCGTTTAAAAATTAATAAGCGTTTAAAAATTAATAAGCGTTAGCATAAATTCTGGGATAGTGTTATTTAGAACTTACACATATTGTTAGGCACCATCCGAAAATCCATAATCATATTAGAAGTAATCGGCAATGTTCATAACATTACAGTAACACTTTAAGACCTACTATTGACATCACCATGCTTGTTTCACACTATAAAAGAAACATTTAAAAACGTGAACACATTGGGCATCATAGGTAAAATTAAATAATGATCAAAACCTACACTCTCACTGAGGCCAACGTACAAAAGAAACATTCAACTCTCTTGCAAAATTCTCTGAAAGAAACATTGGGCATCATAGGTATAAATGAAACATTCAACTCTCTTGCAAAATTCTCTAAATTCTCCAAGCACTTTTCCCTCAAAATTCTAACTTTGGCATCAGAGGCTCTTCCGCTAAAGCCCCCCCCCCCAACTTCATCGTGAACGCATAAGGCTATTGGCCTTGACCTAAGATGTTATTTGTTTTGTAGGTGCAATTTTGTCCAAGAACAAGGAGGAAGAAATTTGCATCCACAAATTGGTGCTTTAATTGAGAGTTGAGTCACACACTCCTAGAAGACTCTCACATCTAAGGTTTTTCGTTTTCTTGTTCATTTATAGATTTTTCATACATTCTTATTCTTAGAATTTTTATTTCTAAAGATTCTTTAGTAAAACGTAAAAGAAAGGTACAATGGCAAGGGACTCGAAAACCTCGAAGAACGAAACTTTCTATGTTCAAAGATCCGGATCGAATGACGGAGGATGAGATGTAAACCCACCACAACGATCCACAAGGCACCCAGCATATTTATCAAAAAATGCTCAAACTATCACTTGAAATTGCATGAACGAGTAACAATCGATTTACATTCTGGGGAATGGAAAAGGAAGAAAAGAAAGTTTTCAAGTAGCACACAGAATACAAAAATACTACACTGTCAGTGTATGCACACACTCAATAAATTGAAATCCGGGTAGTATGCAAAACTTTTTCGACAAAAAGTGAAATTCATGACTTCAGTTTTCGACAGTAAACGCGAAATATGGCAGGTGGAAAATGAAAGACTAACAATAAAACAAAATATTAATAATATATTATTAGTTGCAGTGGAATTTAGAAACAATGAACATTTTAAGGAAGAAGATGAGGGAAATGTAAATATCCAATTGCACGAGATTTTTCGGCATGTACTTATACATTATAATAACTCCGCATGTGTAAGTTTATCTTACATTGCCGGTCCCAAGCCCGGGTAAAGGAGGAGCGGGAGGGCGTCAGGTAGTCGACAGCCGGCACTCCACAGTTATGTCGAATCCTTATGAAAATGAATCTAGAACGAAATCGCGCTAAAGCTAGGGCGTCACCCGTAAGTGGCGCGCTGTGTGACCCGAGCACAGTGATAAGTGAGCAAGGGTCGCTGTATCTCTATCGGCACCCGGATGCAGTGTTAAATGAGCAAGGGGGCCATAGAAACTTCTTTTCGACTCCACTCAAAGTTGTTTGGGAGCATATGCTCCTATCAACTTTACACAGGATACACAAAAGAAGTACTTTGATTCTATTGGACGGGGGAGGGTGAAGAAGCTAGGACAGAAGGGTAGAGTTCAAGAGAGTAGAATGCGTTTAGGAACGTGGAATATAGGAACCTTAACGGGAAAATCTATGGAAGTAGTGGAAGTTATGGTGAGGAGAAGGATAAATATTATGTGCCTACAAGAAACTAAGTGGGTTGGTCTTAAGGCAAAGGATCTAGAAAACTCAGGGTTTAAACTTTGGTATTCGGGCACAAATAGAACGAGAAACGATGTTGGCATCATCGTGGACAAGACCTTGACACAAGATGTTGTAGATGTCAAGAGGGTAGGAGATAGAATCATGGCAATCAAGATTGTAATAGGACAAGAACTCGTCAATGTGATTAGTGCGTACGCACCTCAAGTAGGGTTGGATACGAGTTCGAAGGAGAAATTTTGGAAAGACCTTGGAGACTTGGTGCAAGGAATTGCCCGGACGGAGAAGTTATTTATAGGAGGAGATTTAAATGGACACGTGGGCAGGGAGACAGGCAACTATGGAGGTTTTCATGGTGGCCATGGTTTTGGGGAGAGAAACGAGGATAGGGAAGCTATCTTGGATTTTGCAATGGCATATGATCTCTTCTTAACCAACACCTTCTTTAAGAAGAGAGAAGAACATGTGATCACCTACAAGAGTGGGTCGTCAAAAACACAAATAGATTTTCTTCTAATGAGGAAAGGGGATCGTATAACTTGTAAGGATTGCAAAGTTATACCGGGAGAGAGCTTGGCTAATCAACATCGCTTGTTGTTGATGGATGTACATATCAAAAAAGTGAGAAAAAAAGAACAAGACTTGGAAGTGCCCAAGGACTAGATGGTGGAATCTAAAAGGAGAAAAACAAGCCATTTTCAAAGAGAAAATAATCACCCAGTGTGGGTGGGATAGAGAGGGGGAAGCTAGCCAAAGGTGGGATTCCATGGCTAGTTGTATCCGAAAAGTAGCAAAAGAGGTATTAGGAGAGTCCAAGGGCTTTACTCCACACCAAAAGGAATCTTGGTGGTGGAATGAGGAGGTACAAACAAAGGTGAAGGCTAAGAAGGAATGTTGTAAAGCCTTATACAAGGACATGACCGATGAAAATGGTGAAAGGTATAGAAGAGCGAAGCAAGAGGCAAAGAAAGCTGTGAGATAAGCTAAGTTAGCGGCTTATGACGATATGTATAAGCGACTAGATACCAAAGAAGGAGAGTTGGATATCTATAAACTAGCTAGAGTAAGGGAAAAGAAGACAAAGGACCTAAACCAAGTGAGGTGCATCAAGGATGAGGATGGAAAGGTTCTTGCTACAGAGAACGCAGTCAAAGACAGATGGAGAGGTTATTTTCATAATCATTTCAATAAAGGACATGAAAGGAGTACTTCTTTAGGGGAGTTGAGTAACTCAGAAGAGTGTAGAAACTACTCCTTTTATCGTCGAATCAGGAAGGAAAAAGTGGTTGTAGCTTTGAAGAAGATGAAGCATAGAAAAGCAGTGGGCCCAGACGATATACCGATCGAAGTGTGGAAAGTCTTGGGAGAGACAGGTATAGCATGGCTCACTGACCTTTTCAATAGGATTTTGAAAACGAAGAAGATACCAAATGAGTGGCGAAAGAGCACTTTGGTGCCTATCTACAAGAACAAGGGCGACGTACAAAATTGCATGAACTATAGGGGTATTAAGCTAATGAGTCATACAATGAAGCTCTGGGAGAGAGTCATTGAGCATAGATTGAGGCAAGAGACACGGGTTTCGAACAACCAATTCGGGTTCATGCCAGGGCGCTCAACATGGAGGCAATCTATCTCTTACGAAGATTGATGGAAAGATATAGAGATGGGAAAAATGATTTACACATGGTCTTTATAGATTTGGAAAAAGCATATGATAGGGTCCCAAGAGACATTCTTTGGAGGATTTTAAAGAAGAAATGAGTACGAGTGGCATATATCCAAGCTATAAAGGGTATGTATGAAGGAGTAAAGACTGCCGTAAGAACTTATGAAGGACAAACCGAAAGCTTCCTCATAACTGTAGGATTACATCAAGGCTCATCCTTAAGTCCTTACCTTTTTGCGTTGGTAATGGATGAGTTAACAGGACATATTCAAGATGATATTCCTTGGTGTATGCTTTTCGCAGACGATATAGTGTTGATAGATGAAACTCAGGAAGGGGTAAATGCAAAGCTTAACCTTTGGAGAGAAGTGTTGGAATCTAAAGGTCTTCGCCTAAGCCGATCAAAGACAGAATATATGGAGTGCAAGTTCAGTGCAAATGGAGGCCAAAATGAGTTAGGGGTGAGGATTGGCGATCAGGAAATACCAAAGAGCGATCGTTTTCACTACTTAGGATCTATCTTGCAAAAGAACAGAGAATTAGATGAAGATCTTAACCATAGAATACAAGCTGGATGGATGAAGTGGAAGAGTGCATCCGGCGTGTTGTGTGACCGTCATATGCCACTGAAGCTCAAGGGAAAATTTTATAGGACGGCAATAAGGTCGGCGATGCTGTATGGCACAGAATGTTAGGCAGTGAAGCATCAACACGTACACAAAATGGGTGTAGCGGAGATGAGGATGCTTCGTTGGATGTGTGGGAACACGAGAAAGGATAAGATTAGGAATGAGGATATCCGAGGTAAAGTAGGAGTAGCCGAAATTGTAGGAAAGTTTAGAGAAAATCAGTTACGGTGGTTTGGACATGTGCAAAGAATGCCTACTGACACTCTGGTTAGAAGATGCGACTACGGGACAGAGGTCCAGGGCCGAAGGAGTAGAGGAAGACCTAGGAAAATTTTGGAAGAGACTCTAAGAAAAGACTTAGAGTATTTGGATTTAACGGAGGACATGACACAGGACCGAGCACAATGGCGTTCTAAGATTCATATAGCCGATCCCACTCAGTGAAGAAGGCTTTGGTGTATTTAACACAATACGTTGGAAATGAAGCAAAGCTTATTTATTGATATCTCTGATAAGTTACAAATATGTACATATACATGAGTCAAAATAAACAAACAAGAGGGAGCTTTCACAAAGGTTACTTAGGAGAAGTCTTAGCAATCGGTAGAGCCCCAGAAAGAGAAGGCACCGAGGGGGATCATTCGGAGCCTTAGTACTGGACAGAACCCTAGAAGGAGGAGACATCAGAGGTTGATCATTTAGAGCTTCATTATGCGGTACAGCCCCAGAAGACGAAGGCAATAAATGCCTTTGGAACAAACCCACAAACCGCTGATGATCAAGTAAAACCTGACCATCAGATTCCTTCATCTGGTCAAGCTTCCTATTCATGTTTGTAGCATAGTTATGTGCGAGCCGATGCAACTGTTTATTCTCATGCTTG